ACATCATTTCCTAAGTTGTCTACAACCAACACTGATTCTTATATTCCATTACAAGGTAGTGCATTAAAATAGAAAACACCATCAAGATAAACATTAATAGAACCATTAATATTATAAAATGAATATCGAAACCCTTGTCATATAATCCATGAAAAGAAATGATGTTCCTTGCCATATCTGGCGAATAGCAACAATTATTTAAATCTAATCCTAACCCATTACTCAACACTAAGGAATAAACTCTGATCTTGGTAACTGGTGATGATCTTCTATTTCCCATGAGCAAGTTTATCCTTCCATGCTCCACTTCCCTACTTTCTCTTAGGCCCTGAAAATCAGAACAAATGTGGAAACCACATCCAGTATCAAGAACCCATGAAGTAGCAAGTGATGAGTTATTAGATTTAATTGAATACATACCTGAAAAGGTAGGATTTATCTTCACATCCTTAATATATTGTAGATATTTAGGGCAGCTTCATTCCTAGTGGCCCTTCTCATGGCAGTAAAAGCACTCTGCATCCTTAGGGACAGAAGATGGCTTAGCGAAACCATCTTTGGTCCCACTAGAAGAGGAACCATCTTGGGACTTTCCCTTTTGGTGGCTCTTAGAAGGAGCCTTCCTCTTCTTACCCTTTCCTTGTCCAATTGCTAACACAGTGGGCGAATTAGTAGGAGTTGATGCAATAGATATATCCTTTAGATTGCACTCGGCAGTCCTCAAAACCCTTGAAGTTTGCTCAAAGTGACCTCTTCTTTGTTCATGTGGTAGGTCATTCTGAATTGGTTGTAGCACGGAGGCATGGGAGTAGAGGATGATGTCGATAGCCAAATCCACATCAAAGTTAACATTTAACTTTAGAATACGATAAACATACCTTTTCATCTTTTGCAGATGCGAGGTTAGGGATTCTCCACTCCCCATCCTAGCGGTGATCATGTTAGTGATGATCTCATATCGCTCTTGCCTCGTGCTTTGGTGATATCTATCCATTAATATTTGATGCATCATGAATGGATACATATCCTCGTATGACTTTTGGAGTTCTGCATTCATAGTCGCGAGCATGATGCAATGAACCTTCGTAGCATCACGTTCATGTGCCTCAAAGGCAACAATTTCTTCAGCAGTGGCAGTTTCTGGATTGATCTTTTCAAGCTTCTCGTCGAGGACATATTCTTTGTCCTCGTAGCGAGTGATCATTCGAATGTTTCGAATCCACTCGTTGAAGTTGTTACCATTAAAGATCACTTTCCCACATAAACCCATGAGTGAGAATCCATCAGTAGCTGCAGGAGTGTTGTTGTTTGCATTAGAAATCTGAAATTAGAAAAGGACAAGTTTGATTAGAATGATTCCCTAATTAATCACTCAAATGAGAAATTAGGGCTAGGATCCAACAATATTATTTACAACTTAGAAAAGGGATGTCATAATCTAAAAGCAAATAACTTGAAGGTAAGTGAAGGACGATTCACTAATTTTCCAGCGTGAAAACAAAAGAAGATTATGTTTTAAATGTTTTGAAAACTCCTAGATCTTTGAGATTCATTGAACTTTTCAATAGCATGTTTAAATCTCGATATGCCCTTCAAGTTTGTGATTGGGTTACCAAGGATCACAAACAAGGTGTGAATAACCATGTGAATCAACATGCTGCACTCAATGTCATTATCACCTAATCAATGTGTCGGTTAGCCACACACGATCCATTGATCTATGATAAACATCAAGCCACCCTTCGCCACCAATGTCAATCCCAAATTAGTGTGTCGGTTAACCACAAACGCTCCACTAACATTTGACAAGGGTACGAAGTGTAATTCAATGGAATAGCATCATTTTCACATTTTACCCTAAAGTAACTAAGATTGGGAATTTGAAAAAAATTTAGTTACTTGTAATATTCATTATACTTATAATGAGGAATTAAATGTCATATCCTATCCGTTCGGCTGACGACCCTCCACCAATCAAGGAAACAGTGGGTGAGAGTGGACACCCATTAAGCGCCATTTTATAGGCAACGATCTTATACCTCCCTTATAGACCGGCTTCGTGAATGAGCCCTACTAGCGATAAGAGTAGCTTATTCTTATACACACACACATACACACACACACACACACATATATATATATATATATATATATATATATATATATATATATATATATATATATTGATCTTATAATAAATAAAGTATAAGGTTGAATTTTAAACTTGTAAAATTCTACGGGTTTGAAATTTAAATAATTCAAAATTAAACTTTTAATCAAAAAATTAAATTCCAAAACTTGAGGGCAAGTTTTTGAACTTTTCAAAACATAAAGGATCAAATAACAAATAATATAAATTAAACAATTAATTTTGTGATTATGTATATTTGACCTAATCCAATTTTAATCACAAGATAACTTCCAAATAATTTAAACAGTCAACATTTATCATATAAAGAAACTATTATTCAAATGATTTGAAATTATCTTTTGTTTTGGTAAGGATAATCATTCAAATATAATAAAATTTGGATTTTATCATTAAAAGCCAGCTTTGGCAATTATCCTTCAGCAAAATAGCAAGAAATCCCGAAAATCTTTCTGTCTGACAGCTAAACTCATTGAGTCCACATTGGAACTTGTCGAGTTCAACCTACTCGTCGAGTTCGTCATGGAACTCGTCGAGTTCATCAGGCAGTTAGTAAAAAAAATGATTTTACAGCTTGATCAAATAAACAAGGCATCAATACAATAGAAACTAAACATAGCTTTGATACCACTGATGAGTTTTACACACAAGAACTTTCCTATGTGCTCATGCAAACCCTAATGCTTGGATCTAGGGTTCTCTATTGTACATGCATTGTATCCAAGACTTACAAACCCTAATCTTGCATACATATTTCGAAAATATCAAGATATATCAGATCTAGATGCTTACCTCTTCAAAATCTTGGATCTTCTTCTTCTTGGAGCTTAGAGTCACAAGTGTAACTCCTCTAATGGCTTACAAATACCACACAAGAAAGAAGGCAATATGAGAGAGGGGAGAGATGCTAAATATCGACCCTAGGGTTTCCTTGGAATCATGTGGCCAAAAATTGCATGTAAGGGGTCTCTATTTATACTGTAGGCTGCTAAGGTTTCAGTCAAAACCTTAATGAACAGCTTAATCACCAAGCAACCCATGGAACCTTCTGAAATAAGGCCTATGGACGAAATTATGATGGACTTTCATCATAATTTCCTTCACCCTTTAGTCCATTAGGTTTCTCAACCCAAAAACCAACTATCACACATTTGACAGTTTAAGCCCGTATATTTAATTACTATCTTTTAGCCACCAAATTAATTCCTAATCAATTTATGACTAATATTAATTAGATAATATGATTTCCCTTTTAATATATTAATCATATAATATATTAATAAATCATAATTTCCTCTATCTCTCCATAAATTACCTTGTCAAGTTGCTTTGGTGAAGGCAACCCAAAAGGACCATGCATAACCGGATGAGGGTCATACCAAATATAGTTTTGGGCTTAGACACTAATCCAACAGATCCACCCAACCGAATTCAAATGCGTATAGATAACAACAACAACAACAACAACATTAATAATAATAATAATAATAATAATAATAATAATAATAATAATAATAATAATAATAATAAGGAAGTGTTTAAAAATAATTGTAGACATAATATAATTGGACGAGGCATTTTCGGTTGGTTGGTAATTGCTTTGTTTATATTTGAGTTCGATTCCTGTCCAATTTTTTTTTCTTATTTTCTAGAAAGAAGTATAAAATCAATGTGAGAACAAATAGGCATGGAAGTGGCATACCAGACCAGACGGTAAGTTTGTGGTTTGATGTGTAAGAAGCCCGGATTTGAATCCCACCCCTCACGTTTTTTTTTTCTTTTTTTGTCTGTAGCCATACTGTAGGGAAGTCGTCATTATTGTCTTTCTGTAGCTAATCCGTAGGAGGATTCGTAGCTAGATTGTAGTGAGGTCATAGGTAATTTTTTAAATGAATATCTCTTATACCCTTATAGGAATGCCTCCTTCCTCAAACTCACACAGCAAAAAAAAATGACGAAACTGTGACCTCGAACACCTCCTCCATTGTTTTCCATTTTTCCTATCACCGGTCCCCCTCGTTGTCCCCGTCCCTGTCGCATCTCCCAAGCGGATTTTCCCTTCGTCTCTCGCGGTCTTATCTCAGTCGGCATTACTCTCTTGCTCGATTTCTTCTCCAAGAAAGGTAAAACCATAGTTTTTTTTATATTACTTCATGTAAACAACTTTATATGCATAATTCGGTTATAATTTTGATTTGTTTTGTTGAATGTCAGGTTAAGTTTGAGGTTTTAGGTTAAACTTGTTAAAATGTTAAGTTGGTTTGTTAGATTTTTTGAACATGTTAGGTTAGTTTGTTGGATTTGTTAAATATGATATAAATGTTATATAAAAAAATTTTGAGAACTTCAATTTGTTAAAAATGTTATTTTTGTTGAAATGTTAGGTTAATTTTTTTAATTTGTTAAAAATGTTAGATAAGTGTTTATGTATTGATTTTTGGTTATTTTAAAATGTGTATTATGTTATGGATCATTTGTTGAAATGTTAGGATAGTAATATGTTATGAAATTTTTATGGATTTTTGTAACTTGAAATTTGTATTATGTTATGTATCATTAGTTATGTATGTTATATTAAGTGGGACGTTACACTATTATTATGTTTAGTTTAGAGTTTTACATTTTTATATCGAAATTTTGTTTAATAGAGAATGCACACGAAGAGACATGAGTCGCAAACTCTAACAACCAGGGTGTTATTAGTCAGCAAACGAGCATGACTGATCCTCTTGCAGAATTGGATAAGATTTTTCGTCGTCGAGCTCGAGAGATGGGTCGTATGCCCCAACTGCCACAAACAGATTCTAGGCCCCAACTCCCACAAATGGATTATAGGTCCTAATGCCCATAAATGTTTTTGAGGACAGGTGGTAATAATGGACTTGAGGACTATTGTTTTGAGGGTGCAGATGCAGAGACAAACTTTCGGTCACCACAGACCCAACACACACCACGAGCATCAAACACGCCATTGACGCTGCATGGCTCTGCCTCAAGAGGTATTTCAGGCGGTCACGACTGGAATGCGTGTGATTTTCATGCCTCTTCGTTGCCCCTCATCAGTTGTGATGGGGATAAGTTAGTGTTTTCATCATTTAAAAAATTATTTTTTGATGTTATATTTATACTTATATAGTTTTTTCCATATTGTAGGTTTGGGGATCAAAAAATCCACAACGCATGTATTCATCTCTTGTGGTGGGAGAATTTAGATTGTCTGTGGGTCCAGTTCAATGATATTCCCAATGAAAATCTTACACATATGTTTTCGTGTGTCGGGCTAATATATTAAATACTTATTATTGTATCTTATACTCATTTGCTTTTAGTTTGTATTTTTAAATTTACTTTTTATTTTTTACAGACAAAGTATATGTGGCATTCACAAGAGAATGAGAACATATTTGATGCATTCAAGTGTGTCCTCAAGGATAGATATAGAGATAGGATGAAAGGTATCAGGAGACAATATGCCAACATGACATCAAAAGATGGGAAACCCCTCCACCCAAGGTTTTGTAGCTACTATGATCGGATGCATATCTACCGCCACGAACGCGTACCATAGACTGTGTGGCGATGTTTGTGTGATGTAACGGACACGATACATTATTATTTTCTTGTTGAGTTTTGATTTCCTATTATATTATTATACTTATATATATATATATATATATATATATATATATATATATATATGTATGTATGTATATATTTCCTTTAACAACATTGGTCCACAGATAAGTGGCCAAAGAATTCAAAAATCACTCAGTAGAACCGCAACACGGCAGATGATAATGGTTCAACCACAAGGCACACTACGGGTAGTATAATATTTAAACAGCACCATAGGAACTTAGTAAGTATCATAATATAAATTTTATCATTCTTATTTTGTTATAACACTAACTACATTATTTGTACTTTGTCTTTTATGTAGGAAAAGTTGATGGGTAAACCACCCAAACATTATGATGTTTTCATGAAGACGCATGACACTACTGAGTCGAAGAAAAAAAAAATACTTTGAGGGAATCATGAAAATCTCAAATATTGCTCACAGACGGCCAAAGAAGCACGAGTAAGTTATCTTTATCATTTATGTATATTGATTGTCTTATTTTTTGTATATGGCGATGGTGTTGTTTTGGTAATTTGTAAGAGGCGTATCTGCAGGGGTTGGTCAACAAATATGGTGAAGATCATGCAAACCATAAGGACGATGTAGATGTATGGGAGGAAATCCAACTTAGAAGAAAAGGATAGAATAAGGATGATACCTATGGGATAGAAGCATCAGATATATTTTTTTTTGATTTTTAGGACACCATCTTCCCAATCCACCTAGTCCACCCAGTCAGACATTATGTGACAAGAGGTATGTTGATAATATTGATTAAATTGATAACAAACAAACGTACATTGCTATAATGGTTAAAAGTTAGGTAGTTTGTTGAAAATATTGATTAAATTGATAATAAACAAAAGTATGTTGCTATTATGGTTAAAAGCTAGATAGTTTGTTGATAATATTGATTAAGTTGATAATAAACAAAAGTACATTGCTATTATGGTTAAACGTTAGGCAATTTTGTAACGATCGTTTTTCCCGAGGTATAAGTTTATTTAATTCTCGAGTTTTATTTTGGGCGATAATAGATTTAGTTATGAGATTGGGCCTTTTGTTGGACCACGACGTAGTCTGCCCATAAGCCGTACGCGGGGCATAACCCGTTGTACGCTGGGCGTAAAGGGTTAAATGAATCGCGTGGATGAGGGGCGTACGCGCAACGTACCATAGTGTACGCCTAGCGTACGCGGCCAGGGAGAAAAACCTTAATTTTAGGGTTTGAGATGTATTTAAACCCCATTATAGCCTCCCATTTGGCCTCCTCACTTGTCATTCACCCCAGAGAAACCCTAGTTCGTCCCCTTTGCTCCTTGCTCGTGTGTGTTTGATCTTTGAGATTATTTTTGTGAAGAAGAAGAAGAAGAGAAGTGGAAGAAGGAGAACTTGAGTGCCTTGAGCTCATAGATCCGGGATCATTCCTTCATTTGGCATTCAAAAGAGGTATAAAGCTTTCAACTTTCCTCTTGTAAGTTTAGATCTAGGAGTTTTGGAAGTTTGGACCTTTTTAGGTCCAAAGGAGGAACCTGTCACACCCCAAAACCAAGAACAGCGGAAACGTTCTGGGGCGGAGGACGTCATGTACAATATCACAACAATGAAAAGTAGTAAAGAAGCAACAACATCATCCATTGCATTAATAATATAATTATTATACAATTGTGTTTTGTCAAATTTTGATAAACACTAAAGCATAAATCAAAATGAAAGATGAGTCTTCAACGAGATCCATCTTCCCTAATCCTTGCATCGGTACCTGTCTATGATGACCTGAGGATACAAGTAATTTTGAAAGCGAGTATCAGCTTTAAAGCTGGTGAGATCATAATTATTTTAGTGTCTTAATTTGTATGTAAATACTTGTATGTATTTGAAATGTAAGTATTTGTATGTATACGTATTGTAAGTATTGAAAATGTAAATGAACTGTAAGTATGAAAATGTATATGAATTGTAAGTATGAACATGTTTGTAAAACAACTGTAAACGTTTGAAAAACCCTAGAAATCCCTATGATTCCTACTAGTAACAAAAGGAGTCTTCGACCAAGACTTAACTGTTCTCATGTAGCCTTCTATCAAGACCTAACATATTTGAATGTAGTCTTCTACCAAGACCTAACTGTTCTGAATGTAGTCTTCTACCAAGACCTAACTGTAATAGTATTACCCTTTGGTACCCGGGCAAATAACAATGTTAACTGAAAACATCCGTAGATGTACATTTACCTCTGTTGCTAACAACTGGGTATAGGAATAGTCAGTCCCCAAAAGTATACATGTAATGGTATCAACCGTTGACATCCGTGGATGTGCTTTTACCTCTGTAGCTAACAGAGATTCTAGGAATGGTTAGTCCCACAACGTATCCTTGGATACTAGGATATTAAATCCAATCTATCTCGTCGATTATGTGATTGAATCACAAGGTAAAGATAAGAATGAGGATTATATAACAAAATCTATACATATAAAATGTACTAGTAATTCCTGTAAGTGTACTCATGTACATGTGATCATGTGACCATATCTATGTAATAGTATGGTAAGGTACTGTAATGTTCTAGCTGTAGTGTACGTGCTCTCTATCTAGCAAGTATAGTAATGTACTGAAATGTTCTAGCTGTAGTGTACGTGCTCTCTATCTAGAAAGTATAGTAATGTACTGTAATGTTCTAGCTGTAGTGTACGTGCTCTCTATCTAGCAAGTATAGTAGTGTACTGTAATGTTCTAGAAAGTATGACTCATGAATGAACTGACTCATTGTATAGTATTGCGTTCTAGTAATAGTTCTAGTATCTTCCTAAACTACCCATATGGTAGCTTACTAGTAATATAACTGGTACGTATGAACATGAATGTATACCCTTGCTACCCAAGGGCATTGGATGAACTGGAAGGGCCTTTATGACTATATATGTACGTATGATATATAACTAATATTTAAACGACCTTCGGACGGATACCCGATAACCCACCAGACCACATCCAAATCGAGGAAAAGGAAATAGGGTGGATAGCCTTCCTAAGTCTTTTAAACATTTCTTATATATCTATACATATATAGGCATGCAATTGATAATATAAAAGCATAAAATACGTTTTGTAAAACCTTTGAACATAATTATTATCTAAGAAAAGATCGACTTGATGTCAATCTATAAAACGGTTTGAAGGCACAGGTTTGATAAAACAACTTTAGTATAAGGAAACATTTGTTTGAATCAAAATTGTAAATAAGTTTGAAGTAAAACATATAGAGTAAAATGTACAGTGTAATAAGGAGTTTTAAACACATAAAGTGTTTATGAAAAACATTTGAAGTAAATTGTTTGGTAAAACGGCTAATGAGTAGCCAACCATTTGAATGATGCTTATTAATCACATGTGATTAATATAATAATTAGCATTATTCTACTTGTATCCCCCCATAAAACATTTAAAAATAGTTAAAACATTGATTAAGGGGTATGAACTCACCTGTAGTAAGTGGATCGGAAGGAAGTGTCAGATAAGTGCTTAGTGTCAAGTGAAGACTTAGACACACACAAAGATCCTAATAACATATAAGGATATATGTATATACACAATTAGTCTGTAAACAACTAATAAACAAAGTTAAGACACTCTAGGACATGCTAAACACTTTACACAAGTGTTATAAGTCTCAAGGGTTGCATCTAAGGGTTGTAGGGAAAGGCTAGTGTGTTTGGGGTTCAAGGGTAAACTCCTTGGGAGTTTACGGTTTAAATGACCTTTACCCTAGGAGTTTACAGCAGTAAAGTCAAGGGTTTACGGTCTTAAACTCTACACTTTAAGACCATATGTTGTTTTGAAGTCTTCCAAGCTATTCCAAGCATTCCTACTTCATGATTTAGCCTTAGGAAGTGTTGTGTGGAATCAAAACACTCCTAAATGGAGTTTACGGTCTAAGGACCATTTCTCCATGAGTTTACTACCTTAAACTCATGAGTTTACTACCTTAAACACATGAGTTTACTACCTTAAACTCCTAAGTTTGGTATTTGGCGGTTTTCAAGTCCTTGGCTCAAACATGGCACTAGTCTAGGTTAGATTCTAGCCATAAGGAACAACCATGGGCCATTTATGGGACATTTACACCACATTTGAGGTGTTTACGGTTTTGGGAGATCCCCAAACCGTAAACACATAAAAATATATGATTTTGGTGCTTTTTGTGTGATACACTCATCAAGGATGGATCTAGACAAGTCCTTAAGGCATTGTGAAGCATCTAGACACCCTAAAGAACCCTAAGGCACTATATTGGGTGTTTACGGTTTTGGGAGCCTCCCAAAACCGTGAACACCTTGTTATTGGTGTTCTTGGGACTTTTCCTTGGTATAAACATGTATAGCAAGCTTAAAATGACTCTAAGATAGAAGTACTTACATAGAGGAAGCTTGAAATGAACTTTAAATCCAAGAACACTTAGTGTGTGTTCTTGGTGTTTTTGGAAACTAATCAAAACACAAAAATGAATGGATTAAAGGATATACAATCACTAGATTAAGTAATATACTAACTTGAAAGGGTTAGAACACTTACTAGTTTGAAGATCTAGAATAAAAACTTGGATGATACTTGAGAGGATATTTTGGAGTTTACTCTTTTGACTTTTTGGGGAGGTAAACACAAATTACTAGTCTTGGGGAGTAAACTCATGCTTAAGGCATGAGTTTACGTTTTTGGGATGATTTTTCGACCCAAACATAATAGTTTGGCCGTGAACTTCTAAGACACGTGGTGTTTGCGGTTTTTAGAATTTAAAACCCGAGACCATACTTTCTTTCACCCGTTTGCTTAAAAATAATATTAAAATAATCAAACGAACCTTATATTTCTTGAAAATAAGAAATAATGACTTTAACTTATGATACGAAGTGGTTGACTTTTAGGGTTTGACCGAATGGAAATTT